ACTTAACTTTAAAAAAAAGGACTTAGGAATGTGTGGAAATATTGGCCTGACCTTATGCCCAAAATCTTAAATGGACTTTGGGAGACAGGCAATAGATTTGATCTACTATCAAGATTTATAAAGCCTACCTACAAAATACAGGAAACTCTTTATTTGACTACCTCCAGAAGTTGGGAAGCATTTGTTTTCCCATCTCTTTACTCTAGATGAACAAGAAGGAACTTTTCCCCACTCTAACAACTCTTCCTCCTCCTCCTCTTTCCTCATTACCCATGGGTGTAAGGGTGGAGAATTGACCATTTTCCTCTAACCCTAATTTCTGGAAGCTACTTGCTGTGAACTTGGAATCACATGATGCACACACAGGCTGATCATCCCATGTGGCATGCACACACAGTAACTTGTGACCAAGAAGAAACCACCATTCCCCACAAACCTCCTACAGTTGTAGGTTGTCTCTGCTGTGGCAGTGGTAAAATAGTAAACTCCAGGACTGGGAGGTTGCCAGTAAACTGAACTGCAAAAGATGACCCAGACAGAATACCAATAAGAGAATCTATCCTTGATTCTAAACCTGGGAGTGGGGCATCATAATTAGATGAACTAAAGATAAATATGTATTTTTTTGAGAGTTCCTTTACCCTTCCTCCAGCAGCAGCTCTAGGATCTAAGCTCAAATCTTACAAAGACCCTGATCTACTGTAGTCAAAGGATTCTCCCAACAGTCATTAGGGCTGTTTCCAAGTAATGTAAAGCCTAAAACAAAGTTTTTCCTGTTCTCCTTTCTGCTTCTCCTCCAGGAAGCTGAATAATGATGGTGGGGAGTTATCGGAATGTGATTTATTTTCTATTTCATTTGAGTTCTGTAATTAAACATTTTAGTGTAAGAAATCTAGTATATGATAAGCAGGGGACCACCATATACCATCAGTTTCACTTAGAACTGGAAAGATCATCAAAGGTCATCCAATCCAAACTCTTCATTGTATAGGTAAGGCCCAGAGAGGGGATATGATTTGCCCAAAGTCACACTGCTAGTGGCAATGTCATATAAGAAGGACTTTGGGATACAAAAGAGCCCTAAAAGAACCATGAATAGAAATAAAGGAACTCCATTATTGGCTAAAGCTGCATATGCAGAAGTATCATTTTTAGGTATTTTATCCAGTTTCCCATTATTTAAATGTATCCCTTTCCCTTGAAATTCAATTTAAATGTGCTTTATCCCCAACAGCACTCTTGACAGAAATTCATTATCACTCCATCTCTTGGCTTTCAGCATTTTCTCCTCCTCTCCTTTCTCATCTCTGCCTCCTGGATTCTCTGGCTGTATTCATGTTCCAAATAAAATCCTCTCTTCTATAGGATACCTACCCCATACTCTCTTAATTGTAGTTTCTCTTCTCTTTTAATTGCTTCCTATTTATCCTGCATATAGCCTCTTTGATTGCTTTTTGTCTCCTCGATTGGATTGTAACCTCTTTCATGGCAATGACAATCTTTTGCCTCTTTTTTTTTTTGTATTTCCAGCACTTAGCGTGGAGCCCAGAACATACTAGTTGCTTAATAAATGTTAATTGACTGGCTGATAATCAAATCAGGAAATAGATGGAGACCAAAATCAGTTCCTTAGGTCAATAATCAAGATAGGTCTAATGGGATGAATTAGAATTCTATCTGCTGTCCATGATATTAAGTGAATTATGAGGTGGAATTGCTAAGGGGTAACTGGTCCTCAAGAGAAGCTACATTGTGGTAACTTTTAGGAAGAATCAATTTTCTCTCTTTGAGGATATCACATTAGGAGAAGACATGGATATCATTGCATGATACCAAAAGGAGAGAACCTGGGGCCTTCATGGCAGAAATCATAGGCTCTTTTCATGTATGCGGATAGTTGTTAAACCTGGTTCTCTGACAGGTACAAGAATTAAGTACATTCCTTCTCAGAGTATTGCATCTCAATGTGTCTAACTGGCTCTGAAAGAAGCTTGGGTTTTCCAGTTTTCCAGAATGAAGGAAATGGACAGTAAAACAATGGGGCAGGCAATAAATGAAAAAGAGTGAACTAATGAGAACATTTAGGTAGCCAATATTAGACTAAAGTACATGTTTATTAGACTACAACACATATGTTATAAAACCACACAATGGAAACTGACTTGGTCCATGCTCTTATGTTTCTATAGATAAGATGGAGAGAACATAGAAGAGAAAGACTAGGATGGGGAAGGAGCATGAGTCCATGCCATATGAGGACTAGTTGAAGCAATCTGACTTTTTTCTTCTTTTAGCTGCCATATCACACTGCTCACTCATATTGAGTCTATAATTCACAAAAGTCCAGTCTTTGACTCAAAGCCTTGAAGAAGATCAGCAATCTCTCAAATATGGACTCCAAAGTGTAGTATATTCTACTAGGAACATGTATTTAGAGTTGGAGGGACACAGAAGGTCATCTAGTCCAACTCCATTTTACAGTGAAGACCCTAAGACATAGAAGGGTCTTAGGATCATGGGTTAAGAGGTGAAAGGGACCTTATACCATCAAATTCAGCTGCCTTTCACTATAAAAATGAGGAAATGGAGGCAAAGAGAGGTGAAGAAACTTGCTGAGTCATGCAACATAGAAGAGTGTATGTTGGGTTTCAACCTAGGTCTTCATGATTCCAAATACAGTATCCTACCCAGTATGCCATCTTGCAGCTCTAGAAATGCATGTGTCAATCTCATTATCAATGTGTACATCCATAGAAAACATACTGCCAAGGTAAGAGAACTTACCCACAGCATTCAAAACTTCTCCATATGCTGTAACTAAAGGTTTCACATATGGATGGCGTGGTGCTAGCTGATGGTGTACCTGTGTTTTCTTGGTGTTAATTGTTAGGCCAAAACTAGCACAAACAGCAGAGAAGTAATCCATACATTGTTGTATCTCATCTTCAGAAGTTGCACTGAGTGCACAATGAAACTCATGCAACAACACTTCCTCCACTTTGGTCTTGGCTTGTAAACTTTTCAAATTGAAGAATTTATCATCAGTGTGGTAGCTGACTTTGATGCCACTTTCATCCTCATTGAAGGTGTTTGACAACATGACCAAAAATATCATGCTTAAAAGCATGAGAGCAAGCACATGGCCTTGTTTCACTCCACTGGGGACTGGATAAGCACTAGAGCATTGTCCACTATCCAGAATCTGGGCAAGCATGGCATTGTGAAATCGACATACTATACTGATAAACTTCTCTGGGCAACCAAATTTTGACATGCCCTTCTATAAGCCCTCATTACTGACTGTGTCAAAGCCTTGGTCAGATCTACAAATGCTATTTGCAGACCTCTATTCTGCTCTTGACAGCAAACACCATATCAATTGTTCCTTGGACCTTTCTGAAGCCACACTGATTCTCAAGTACATGCCCATCTTCCAGGTGAAGGATCAGCTAATTAAGGAGACTCAGAAGGAAAATGTGGGAGAGAAGAGGTATTAGACTGACTGCTGAATTGAAATCAAACCTGGACAGTATAACAGCACCATCCCAGGAAACTGAATCACTTCCATTTGAATTGTCTTAAGAAGGTTCTGAAGATCACCTGGCAACATAAAGTACCAGACACTGAGGTCCTTTTTCAAACTAAAGCCAAGCATTCAAACTTTACTACAGAGAGTACAACTACAATCATCTGACCACATTGTTCAAATGCCAAATGTATGCTTGCCAAAAAGATTAGTTTTTGGAGAACTCTCACAGGGCAAGTACTCACATGGTCGTCAGAAGAAGCAACACAAGGACACTCTCAAGGTCTTTCTTAAGAACTTTGGAATTGATGGTGTGACATGGGAGACACTGGCATAAGACTATTCAGCATGGGGTGCCCTCATCAGAGAAGTCATTGTGCTCTATGAGCAAAGCAGAATTGAAGTAGCTCAAAAGAAACACAAAATGCATGAATTTAGAGAATCCACCCCAAATGTTCACATGTATTATTTGTGCCTGACCTGTGGTAGAGCATTCCAAACTTGTATTGATCTGATCAGCAACAGTTGGACACATTGTAACTTGACTCTAATATAATGATGTCATTTTGGTCCTCTTCGAGAATGGAGGACAATCATACTGACTTGCCTCTCCTGTGAAGTGACTTAACTAAAATTATACAGGTAGCAAAGGAAAGTACTACAAATTAATTCCAGGTCCTCTGAGATGTCATTGCATATAAATACTTCCCTGGCTCCAGGAAGCCAGGGAAGTTGACCTTAGAGCTCTCAGATGGATGCTGATATCATAAGGATCACCACAATGCAAGCAGTTCTAGAAAGGAAAAAAAAAACCCTGCAGATTTTAAGTCCTTAAAATATCAACACTTTCCTAAAGTTTTCAAGATAGTGCATAATGGAAATATGACATGACACACAGTTTGGGTTACTTTAAGTAATCTTTATTTCCTCAGTTCATCTACCCATTAGCTCACACTTGGTACCACAGTCTTCCTCATTACTCATAATTGATCATTTTTCTTCCCTTCCTGAAACTTCATTCTACCTTTTTGAAATAATCTTTTGTTTCATGGGGCACCAAAAGTGATCTTTTCCCTGGGATGACCATTTGCCAAGTAAAGCGTAGATGTAACAGCTAGACAGGAGAAAGCGATACATGGAAGGTCTCATGTCTTACTACCACATGACTTATGACAGTTGTCTTCAAAATTGAGGAAAAAGCAAAATAGATAAACTCAGATAAGCAGATTGCATAATTGCTAATGTATGAAGAAAGGAAATACTTTTGCCATCTACTTTCATGCAAAACCAGAAAAATATCACTGCTTCATTTAGAGCCTTATTGTTTTCATCTTGCTAAACAATAACAAGGAAATAAGCTCTTACTGGTGGTAGCCATCACTCAGGATGGTATATAAGATGCCCCTGAGGGCAGGAGACTTTCAAATTCAAGTCACTCATTCACCTTGAAAGAAACCCAGAAGCTCAATCCACTAACACCATGGTCAGCTCTTGTTGTGGCTCCACCTGCTCTGGCCAGAGCTGTGGCTCTGGCTGCTGTGCCCCCTGCTGCTGCTGGATTGGCTGCTGCTTCCGGCCTCCCTGCTACCAGAGCACCTGCTGCAGGACCAAATGTTACAGGCCTACCTGCATTGTGTCCACCTGCTGCCGCCCCTGCTGCTGTGGGTCCAGCTGCTGCCAACCCTGCTGCCGCCCCACCTGTTGTATTTCTAGCTGCTGCCAGCCCTGCTGCCGCCCCAGCTGCTGTGGCTCCAGCTGCTGCCAACCCTGCTGCCGCCCCACCTGTTGTATTTCTAGCTGCTGCCAGCCCTGCTGCTGCCCCAGCTGCTGTGGGTCGAGCTGCTGCCAGCCCTGCTGCCGCCCCAGCTGCTGCCCCAGCTGCTGTGGGTCCAGCTGCTGCCAGCCCTGCTGCCGCCCCAGCTGCTGCCAGACTGCCTGTTGCAGAACTACCTGCTGCCGTCCAGCCTGCTGTGGCTCCTCCTGCTGCTGATCTTGAAATCTGTCCACATCAACTCACCATTACCACTTTCTCCAAGAGAAGCAAGAGTTCCTTTCCTTGTATTCATCAATATCAACAAACCTCATTGATGAGCTGAGTCCCATCACCCCAATTTGGAAACCTCAAACCCAGTTGCTTTTCCAGCTTCTGGCCTCCATTACAACTATCTCCTCTTTTGGTCTCTTCTCCTCATAGGAGCCAATATGGAATTGAATCCAAATTCAGCTGCCTAGAAACTCACAAAATACATCAAATTTCATGATTTTACTCTTGGAATTCATCAAATACTATAACCTTCCTATTGAAAAGTAGGTTTCCTGTTGTGTTTACTAAAAACAATGATCTCACCCTGAGATCTGGGATGTGGGATTCCAATGATGTAATTTTCTTTCCTTGATTTCTTCTTACAGTGACTCCCTTGTCTTATTGTCCTTCTCTTTCCTAATAAAAAAATTAACATCCTGGCATAGAAAAAGAAATTTTTTCTAGTCTTTCTTTCTTATGTGTTCTCTCTCATTTCTTTGGCAAATATATTTTTCCTAAGGTGAAAGAGAAAACTTATTAATTATAACCCAATACCGATTGAGTCTCAACAAGAGAGACATCATGGTGTTAGAAGAGATAATAATAATTGCTTTGAAGTCTGGCATGTACTAACTGTGTGAACCTAGGTAAGACACTTAACCACCCAGTGCTCCTGGTGACTATAGGACTATATACATTTAAGTTATAGATGAATTTCTAATCTCTATCATCAGTGAAAAATCACAGGTCTGGCCAAAAGTCTTTAAATTAGCAAATACTTGAAGTTTTTTGATAAATTAAACAATACTTTTTACTTTACATACATTCTGTCCAGGAAAAAAAATAATCCAATGATCTAAGGAAGCCGTATTGATGAGTATAGATAGAAAAATGTGAGCAGAACCATATTCAATTTTGATTCCAAGACACTGTTTCAGAATTGATAATGGCCAGTGAAAATAACTATGACCTCATAGGATAGTCTCTTCTGTCCTGAGAGCAATATAAGGCACTGAATTACACACACACACACACACACACACACACACACACGCACACACACCCTTCAAGTAAGTTGATACCGAGGAATAAACAACCACTTAGTCATTCTTCTTCATATTCATTCAAGGAACATGTTTCTTTTCTGGAACCTCACTTCTGAGAAAATCTAGCCTTCCCAATAATACAGCACACACAATTTTGGTTAACAAAGCTACTATATGCTAAGTATTGTCTTAAGCCTTAGGAATACAAATAAAAATAGAAAAAAGAACCCTGCCACTGTCTTTAAGGAGATTATATTGTAATGGGGTAGACAACATGGAAATAATTAGGCATATATAAGGCACACTCAGAGTAAATGGGAGAAAAAAAAGTACTCAGGAAGGCCTCATGTGGAAGGGAATTGAGCTGAATCCTGATGGAAACCAGGGGAACTAAGAGGCAGAGGCAAAAAGGGAGCGAATTGCAGGTATGAGGAACAGTCAGATGTAGGTGGGAGATGGGAGATTGGCTGTCATATTTGAGGAATTACAAATAGGCCTATGTAGCTAGGTTACATGATGTGTATAGACCAGTAAAGTATAAACAGATTGGAAAAGTTTGAAGGGGTTGTGCTATAAACAAGCTTTAATGGCCAACAGAGAAACTCATGTGTGATTCTAGAGGTAATAGGAAGATACCTGAACTCATTCATTAGTGGGGTTAACATATTCCAATCTAGCTTTTAGAAAGTTTACTTTCATGGTTTCTCAGAGAGCTTTGGCTTTGCATCTAGCTAAAGTTGTTCACGAAATATGTACATAAACCCAAGAATACCTGGAGCTGCTGTATGGACTATTTTAAAATTCTTTCATGGAACAAATTTTGTTCTCCTTCATGAATAAAGCTAAACAGAGAAACTGGCCAGCAAATTTTTAGGTTATGTGAGCAGATTATGGAATACACAAGAAAAGCACTTCTCTCATATGTGCAGCTCTGAGCCAATAATGAGACTTATTTTGATTTTCTAAGGTTGATTGTCCCAGTAGTCTCCCCTGTTCCTAGCACCATTTTAGGCTTGGAGCCCAATTACTGGATCCAAAAATAAACATTTATTAACTGCTTACTATTTTCCAGATATGGTACTATGCTCTAGGGATACAAAAAAATGAGGCAAAAGAGAGTCTCTGCCCTTACAATCTAATGGAAGAAACAATATGCAAACAAATATATACAAAGCAAGTACAGGACGAATAGGAAATGATGAAGAGAGTGAAGGCACTAGAATTAATAGGTACTGGGAAAAGCTTCCTGTAAAACAGGAAATTTTAGTTGGAACTTACAGAAAGCCAGGGAAGTTAATAGGCAGAGTTGAGGAAAGATAACATTGCAGATATGGGGAAGAGCCAGAGAAAATGTCCAGATCTGAGAGCAAATGTGCCTTATTTGTCATGTGGCCACCAGTAATGTCTAAAAAAGACTGGAAAGGTAGAAGGGGACTGGGTTATGAAGGTCTTTAGAAGCCAAACAAAGCAATTTGTGTTTGATTTGGAGGCAATAGGCAACCACTGTAATTTATTGGGGGCAGGGGTAGTGGCATGATTGCACCTGTATTTTATGAAAACTACTTTGGTGGCTGACTAGAGGAAGGATTGGAGTGGGGAGAGACTTGAGGACAGCACACCCACCAGCAGGCTTTTTCAATAGTCTAGGTATGAGGTGATAATGGCTTCTACCAGAGGGGTGGTAGTGTCAGGACATTGAAGGAGAAGTATATGAAAGATGTTATGCAAGTGAAATGGCCAGGTCTTGGAAATATATTGGATATGAGAGATAGTGAGGACTGAAGAATTCAAGGATAACTCCTTGCTTGTGAAACTGATGGATTGGAAAATTTTGTTGCCCTCTATAGCAATAAGAAAGATAGGAGTAAGAAAATTTAGGTGGGGAATAAGTTCTGTTTTGGGCATGTTGAGTTTAAGATACCCACTGGAAATCCAACTTGAGATTCTAAAAAGTAACAGAGATGTGAGATTTGAGGTCAGCAGAGAATTTGGGGCAAGGTAGGTAAATTTGATATCCATAAGCATACATATGGTAATTAACTCCATGGGAGCTTATGAGATCACCAAGGAAGTAGTACAAAGTGAGAAAAAGGGGGCCCAAGACAGAACCATGAAAGACACCTATAGCTAGAGGGAATGATTTGAATGATGAAGAGACAGAGAAAGAGCAGTCGGACTCCTGGAAACCTTGAGAGACAAGAGTATCAAAGAAGAGAAGGTGATCAATAGTGTCAAAGGCTACAGGGTAGTCAAAGGTAATGCAGATTGAGAAAAGGTCATTGGATTTGGCAACTAAAAGAAAGTTGGTAACTGAAGAGATCAGTTTCAGCAGAATGATAAAATCAGAAGCCATATTGTAAGGGGTTAAAAAAAAAGAGTAGAAAGAGAGAAAATGGAATTATCTACTGTGAATGGCCTTTTAAAACATTTAAATTTTTTTTTTTACTTTTTTTAAATTTCAGGTTACAAATTCTTTCTCTCCCTTCAGCCCTCCTTCATACATCCAGAAGACAGGCAATATGACACCCACTACACATGATAAATCAGGCAAAGCATATTTCTATATTAGCCATGTTGTAAATAAAAGCAATAAAAATAAAGTGGCAAAATTTGTACTCAGAATTCATCAATTCTTTCTGGAGATATATAACAAATTTTCATCATAAATCTTTCCAAGTTGTCTTCTATCATTATATCAATCAGAGTAGCTAAGTCTCTCATTGTTGATCAACCCTATAATATTGCTATTACTATGCAAAATGGTCTCCTGGTTCTTATCACTTTGCTTTTTATCAGGTCATATAGGTCTTCCCAGATTTTTGTGAAACCATTCCCTTTCTCATTTCTTTTTTAAAAAAAATAATTAATTTTTTATTTACTTTAATTTTCCCACTTAATAGTATTTTATTTTTTCCAATTACATGTAAAGATAGTTTCAACATTCATTTTTGTAAGATTTTGAGTTCCAAATTTTTCTCCCTCCCTTCTTTCCCTCCCCCCTCCCTAAGACAACAAGCAATCTAATATAGGTTGTACATGTACCATCATGTTAAACATATTTCCACATTAGTCATGTGAAAGAATGAGAACAAAAGGGAAAAACCAAGAGAAAGAAAAAAAGTGAAAATAGTATACTTCAATCTACATTCAGACTCCATAGCTCTTTCTCTGGATGTGGATAGCATTTCCATCATGAGTTTCTTGGAATTGTCTTGTACCATTTTATTGCTGAGAAGAGCTAAATCTATATAAGTTGGTCATTGCACAATGTGGCTGTTACTGTGTACAACGTTCTCCTGGTTCTGCTCACCTCACTCAGCATCAGTTCATGTAAGTCTTTCTAGGCTTTGCTGAAATCTGCCTGCTCATCATTTCTTATAGTACAATAATATTCCATCATAGTCATCATATACCACAACTTGTTCAGCCATTCCCCAGCTGATAGGTATCTCCTCAATTTCTAATTCTTTGCCACTACAAAGAAGCACTGTTAAATATTTTTGTATATGTGGTTCCTTTCCCATTTTTGGTGATTTCTTTGGGATACAGATGTGGTAGTATGGTCAAAGCATATGCATAGTTTTATAGCCTCTCTTTGTCATTTCTTATAGCATACTAGTGCTGTATTATAATATATACCACAACTTGTTCAGCCATTCCACAACTAATGAGCATCTCCTCAATTCTGAATTCTTTGCAACCACAAAAACACTGCTATATATATTTTTTGTACATTTAGGTAATTTTTCTTTGATCTCTTTGTTATAAAGACTTAGTAGTGCTATTGCTGAAATAAGAAGTATGCAATTTTATAGCCCTTTCAGCATAGTTACAAGTTATTCCGCAGAATGACTTTTATTTATTGTTCTTTAATATCTCACGGAGTCATTAACTTCCACTTGCTGTGTTCTAAATTTTTAA